AGTATTGTGTTGTTTTAGGGTGGAATGTTCTATAAATATCTATGAGGTCCATCTGGTCCAGTGTATCATTCAAAGCTCTTGTTTCCTTGTTGATTTTCTGCTGAGATGATCTGTCCATTGCTGAGAGTGGAGTATTGAGGTCTCCTCCAATTAACGTATTGTTATCAATATGACTCTTTATTTTGGTGAACAGCTGGCTTATGTAGATGGCTGCTCCCATGTTGGGGGCATAGATATTTACAATTGTGAGATCTTCTTGTTGGACAGACCCTTTAAGAATGATATAGTGTCCTTCTGTGTCTCTAATTACAGACTTTAGTTTAAAATCGAATTTGATATAAGAATTGCTACCCCAGCTTTCTTTTGATGTCCACTTGCATGGAATATGGATCCCCATCCCTTCACTTTCAGTCTGGATGTATCTTTAGGTTCAAAATGAGTCTCTTGTAGGCAACATATGGATGGGTCCTGTCTTTTTATCCAATCTGCAACCCTGCGCTGTTTTATGGGAGCATTTAGGCCGTTCACGTTGAGAGTGATTATTGTAAGATATGAATTAATTGTCATCATGTTGCCCGTGAAGACGTTGTTTTTATAGTTTGTCCCTGTAAATTTCTGTTGTATATCAGTCTTGGGGTCTTTCTCCTTTTATATGAACCCCCCTTAATATTTCTTGCAGGGCTGGCTTAGTGGTCACATATTCTTTCAGTTTCTGCCAGTCTTGGAAGCTCTGCATCTCTCCATCCATTCTAAATGACAGCCTTGCCGGATAATGTATTCTTGGCTGCATGTTCTTCTCATTTAGCACCCTGAATATGTCTTGCCAGGCCTTTCTGGTTTGCCAGGTCTCTGTGGATAGGTCTGACGTTATTCTGATGTTCTTCCCTCTGTACGTAAGGAATCTCTTCTCCCTAAGTGCCCTTAAGATGGTTTCCTTGGTTCTAAGATTTGCAAGTTTTGCTCTTACATGCCGGGGTGTTGGCCTGTTTTCCTTGATCTTGGGAGGGGTCCTCTCTGCCTCTAGGACACGAATGTTTGTTTCATTCCCAGATTAGGGAAGTTCTCAGCTACGATTTGCTCAAATACATCTTCTAGTCCCCTCTCTCTCCACTCCCTCTGGGATTCCAATTATTCTGACATTGGAATGCTTAATGATGTCACTTATTTCTCTATTTTCATGGATTCTGAGTTGTTTTTCCCTGGCTTCCTCTTTTCCCTTTTTATCTATTATATTGTCTTCCAGGTCGCTTATTCATTCTTCTGCCTCAATTACCCTATCTGTTGGTTTATCTAGATTGGATTGGATCTCATTGATAGCCTTTTTTTCTTTTAAAGATTTTATTTATTTATTTGAGAGAGAGAATGAGAGATAGAAAGCATGAGAGGGAAGAGGGTCAGAGGGAAAGGCAGACTCCCCGCTGAGCAGGAAGCCCGATGTGGGACTCGATCCTGGGACTCCAGGATCATGACCTGAGCGGAAGGCAGTCGCTTAACCGAGCCACCCAGGCGCCCTCATTGATAGCCTTTTTAAATTCTGCCAATTCAGCTTTCATTTCTGCCCTTAGAGAGTCTATGTTGCCATTAATTGATTTCTCCATTCTCGCCATTGTCTTCACAACTGGTAGCCTGAATTCCATCTCCGACACCTTGGTTATATCTGCATCCATTTGTAAATCTGCAGCATAAGTCATAATCTCTGAGTCTTTTCTATTTTGGACGTTCCTCCCCCTAGTCATTCTGTTGATGGGTGTTTGAGGGAATGTACAGAGTCCAAATTATTGACCAGAACCCAATCAAGATGCACCTGTTTTCTTGGGTACTTAGGGTTGCTGGCCTCTTGTTTCCCCAGCCTGTCTTCTGGGGGAGGGGCCTGCTGCACTGTTACTCAGGCAACCCTGTTTGGGCGGAGTTGACCTGCCCCCCTGTGGCGGGGGATGGGCTCAGTGGTAATCAATGTTTTGTTCTCTGGCAGCTTTCCACGTCTCTTCCACGAGTCAGAGCAGAAGAGACCATTTCCAACCCTCTACCTCAGAGCAGAGAGATCGCAGTCTGTTCTTCAGTGAGTTCTGCAGGCCACACTGTCTTCATTTCTGTCTGTGCTCCTATAAACTGCAGCGTCCTGGGTTGTGCACCCCTCCGCATCGCCCCCAGTCCTGCCTCCAGGTCGGGGCACGTCTCCGCCCTTTGTGCTTCTAAAACCACCAGCCGCTCCCAGTTTGCCTGCGCAACCCTGGCACTCTGGGTGTCCACCTCGGGGTGTGCCCTAAAGTTCTTTTCCCACCACTACCAGTCTGTGAGTCTGCCCCGTCCCCAGCACACGAGGCTGTTGCTCACTGTCGGTGTAGGATCCCCACGGCCAGGCACCCTCCCGCTGCCATTTATCCTCCGATATCTGCCCCCGGAATCAGGGCTTCCTGCTTCGTACCTCAAAACCAACCGCCTGTGATATTCTGCTTATAGAGATCCAGATCTTACATCTCAGGCTGGTTTCATGGGTGCTCAGAGTGGCCTGGTAGATATCCAGCTCAATTCCGGGCACCAGTTGAAATAGGGTCCCCTACTCCTCCGCCATCTTTCCTTCTCCCTGAATACCCAAATTTTGCATCCTTTCCGGATGTGTCAACATGGGTGGGACTGGAGGAGATTATGCTAAGTGAAGTAAGTCAAACAGAGGAAGGCAATTATCATATGGTTTCAGTTATTTGTGGAACATAAGTAATAGCATGGAGGATATTAGGAGAAGGAAGGGAAAAATGAAGGGGGAAATCAGAGGGGGAGACAAACCATGAGAGACTATGGACTCCGGGAATCAAACTAGGGTTTTAGAGGGGAGGGGGATGGGGGGATGCGTGAGCCCGGTGATGGGTATTAAGGAAGGCACGTATTGCATCTAGCACTGGGTGTTATATGCAAAAAATGAATCATGGAACACTACAGCAAAAACTATTATGTACTGTATGGTGACTACTATAATAAAAAAAATATAAAAACAAAGAAAAAACTGAATTGGATTTATGAAAAACCAATGAGAAGACTTTGCAAATCATTTTTGGACTTTTCAAAGAAAGAGTTTTAAAACTCAACAGGCCTTTTTTTCTTCTTACAGCTTTGGAGAAGTCCAAGAGTTAACTATTGTATTATTATTTGGAAGTATTATACAGACATAATGCCTTGCATATAGACCTTTAATAAAATAAATGTGTTAATGAAGACTATACTTTCAATTAAAAGTAATCTCTTTGTTTTTAAACAGATAGCCATCAGAAGCCAATGTAACTGCATGCACTTTCTTGTTGTCATTTGGAACCAGGCTTCTATTGACTACTATACTCGTCGAGGGGCTTTAGACCTTTCCTCTGAGGAGGGTTGGCATCTGTTCAGGTTTAATAGAGAAGAACTCATGGATATGGCAAAGGAAGAGTGAAAGATGACTCATCTCAACTTGTCCCAACATATGCTCCAACATTTGAATGTCACCTGAGTCTAACAGCAGTTTGACTTTGAGTGTTGTACAATACAGCAAGTGATCAAACTCTGGTTTGAGCAGATCTTTTACTTTGAAACAGATTTGGTATATATAATCAACCTTCCTTTATCCAAACTAATATACTAATGACTAGTAACAGAGTTGATGATCCAAAAGAGTAGATAAATCAAGGATCACTTTAATTTTTTACCTACCATATCTCACTAAATTTTAGATGTTTATATTTTCATATCTTAACACAGCTGAAATTGGGATAATTATAATGATCAACTGGTATCACTTTTTTCTTAGAGCCAAATAACGTGTCTTAGATTTGATGAAATATGGATTCATTTGATTATAAACAGATCTGAGGTACAAAAAATTCATTTAAAATACTAAAGCTAAATTTTGAGGAGCTTACTTATGAAAAAGTAGTAAGTGAACTATTTCCCTACCTTGAGTAGCTCAAGTACCACTGACTCCTTAACATCTTCTCAGAACTACATTTTTTCTCTGAGCATTTACAGCTATTTGGTTGTATTTATCTTAGGGAAGATACTACATATAACACTTGTATATACATACCTTTCTTTCTTTTCTAGTAGAACTATAAGCCCTTTGACAGAAGTATAATTACTTCTGTATCCTGTGTTGCAAGCATAGAACATGTGAGTTCCTACTATGTACCAGGTATTTCATAAGCATAAAAGCTGCACAAAGATGATTCATTCATAACCCACAAGGAGTCTTGTCTGTGAAACTAGTTTTAGCTTTATAATAAATTGGATGGGTTGTCACAACTATAAACACCCAAGTGTAAAGGAATGTAGAATAGAGAGCATTTCACTCCTACCTTAGAGGACTGAGAAAGGTAACACTGGAATTGGGTTGTAAGGATGAGTAGGAAGTTAGAATATGGAACAGGATGAAACAAAAAAATTTCTAAGAGGAAATACCAGCATAGGCAGAAAAAAAAAATAACAAAGCATGTTCAAGGAGTAAGTGATATATTACAGATAAAATATAACATACATTGGCAGTAGGGTAGGAAAGGAGAGGGAAGATAGGATTAAAGTTGAATTGGGATCATAAGTGAAGGGCCTTGTATGTCATGCTTAGGTGTCTTAATTTGACTGTATAGGCGATGATGAGCCACTGAAGATTTCAGAGAGACAACTAACCATAATGGTTGTTAGACAACTATGTCATGACAGATGGGTTAGAAGAATAGGGTAGCAGACACTATATGTTAGCTGAAACTCAACACCCATTCCATATCCCTTACAGCTTGCCTTCCTCACCATAGGAAAAAAATATGATTTGGCAATTTTCCTTGAGCTAAGGTGGCTGTATGATAAGTTCTGGTCAAGATATAGACAAGAATTCTGAGAGAGGCTCTAAGAAAGCATTTACTTTTTTGATAATAGAGGGTCAGAAGCATCTAGCAGAGTTTGTCCTAATCTTTCTTCCTACATTGAATGTGTATATATTCCACAGGAACAACAGCCATTTTGTGACCATGAGATGACAAACTGACATACTAAAGAGCAGAGTGGAAAGAGAAAATGTTTAGGTCCTTGATGGCACTAATGAGCTACTGAATGAACCCTGTACTGTCTAATTCCAGACTTTATATATACTCTTATTTACTCTTAACTGGTTTATTGCTACCTGCAAAGAGAACACATTCTCAAGTGACATAAAGCAAGATTGATGGAGGGCAAATGAAGGGCTATTGTAATAATTCAGGAAGGTGATGATGAAAACTTGAATGGGAGCAAGGATTAAAGAAGAGTAGAAAAGGTAGAGTAGATCTGAAAAACACAGAAATAAAAGAGAGAGGTAGAGGCAATTTAATTTTCGGCATATTAACATTGGGGATACCTGAGACGTAAGGTAGATGCAATAATAAATAATTAGAAAATAGGTCTACAGCTCTAAGGAAATATGGGAGCTGGAAATATAAATGATAAGGAAATATAAATGATGGCTAAAGCCAGTAAAGTATATTGAATGAAAATGAGAGAGCATATAAAATGAGAAAAGATGACTAGGAATGCAACCTGAAGAGCCACAGCATTTTGATTCAGAGCAAGAGAATAAAGAATGGCAAGATAAGCAGGAATAACAGCAAAGGGAGGAGTGAGTTTCAGGCAGGGAATGTTCAAGAGTCAATAATTACAGAAAATTCAAATAGGTATAGAGGCCAGGGAGTCAGAAAGTTAGAGAGGAATCAAAAGTGAGGAAGTAAGAAAGTGACACTAATTATTTTATGAAGTATGGCAATCATAGGAAAGAGAAAGAAAAGATAGCTTGAGAGGAAGAGGCAGGGTTAAGGAAAGGTTTTTGTTACTCTTGTTTCTGGATAAAGAAGATCTGAAGCTATTTATAGATCGAGGAAAAGAAATTAACAAAAAGAGAAACCAAAGACTGAAGATTAAATAGGATAGAATATGGTACTGGAAAACACGGCAAAGAATGAGATCAGGAACACAAATAAGCATTAGCCTTAGACGAAAGGGATGCATGGCTGAAAAGAGGTAAGTCTTGAAGGTAGAGGGGAAGAAGTTGAAAATGGTCATGTCTAAAAGCTCATGTTTCCCCACTATGTAATAGACAGTCATCTCTGGCAGGTGTAGGAGGCTTAAGAATAAATGGTCTGTAATACCTCTCCTGGGGAACAGAATAGGAAACCACCTAAAGGAACCAGTAGGATTACTAGGTAGCACTGGGGTGCCTTGTAGAATATGGTCCTCTTAAATAGAAATGTTTTTGGACATTTAAGAGGAGTTGATATTAATAAAACAGAGACAAAACCAAGCCCAAGTGTCATAAAATATGGATATTTTATTCCAGCTCTGGGGAATGAAAAAAAAGGGGAACACATTCTTCTGCACACCCTTCTAATTTAGCTGACATTAATTTGAAAAAGCTAAAGCAAATATGTACATGTATCTGTATAAATATTTATATATACACATACATATTTCATCAGTGTTTATATATTCACTCTATTTTTGTTTTTTAATAAACACCCTTAAAAATCATTAAATGCATCCCAATACTTCTGCCTCTTCATCAATCTTTTAATACTGTTTGGATTAAATTCACAGTTTGTGTTTTAATCCCTTATGTGATTGGTCAAACTGTACATTACATTAGAAGATGTGAGGGAAAAACTTCGTTTAAAAGTTATACCCTAAAAAAAAAAAGGTTGTACTCTCTGTGTCACAGTTACCCTTTACATGATTTTTTCATCATCGTTTTCAACTTCACACATCTTGTAGTTCTCTACGCAGACTATTTCAGCTTCTAGTGCTGTACATGTCTACATCTTCTGGATGGGACTGCCCGTGATCCATGAGCTTGGGGTCAACCATAAACTGTGTAGCACCTGATAAAGCATTAAAGTAAAAAAAAAATTAGTCATTCATTTCACAAATGTATTGTTGGTATTGGGAATACAGCAGTGAATAAAACAAATAAAAATCTCTGTCAATACGGACCTAACATTTAAGTTTGGCAATATAGACAATAAATTAAGTAAAAGATATTATCAGATGGTGATAAGTGCTATGCAAAAAAATAAAACAGGGAGGGGCACATAGAGCACTTGGGTAATTTACAATTTTAAACAGGGTGGCCTTAAAAAAAAGGTGGTAATTGAGCAAAGAACTGAAGGAGGTGAGGGTGTGTGCCCTGTAGATATCAGAGGACAATGCCTTGAAAGTATAAGGGACCTGAGGCATGTCTGAGGAACCACAAAATGGTCAGTATGACTGGAAGAGAATAGGTAAGATGTGGTGATGGTGGGTGCAATGAGAGTGATAGGAGACATGATCAGATAAAAATAGAAGGCTAAGTCATATAGGTTCATGGTAAGGTGTTTCTCTTTTATTTTAATGCTAGATGGACAGTTTTGAGAAGAGAAGTGACACGATGTTTTATTTTTTTATAAGATCACTCTTGGGGCACCTGGGTGGCTAAGTCAGTTAAACGTCTGCCTTTGGCTCAGGTCACGATCCCAAGGTCCTGGGATCGAGCCCCATGTCGGGCTCCCTGCTGAGTGGGGAGCCCGCTTCTCCCTCTCCTCTGTGCTCATGCTCTCTCTCGCTATCTCTGTCTCTCTCTCAAATAAATAAAATCTTTAAAAAAAATAAAAGATCACTCTTGTCTGTAGGGAGAAGAGACTACAGGGAAATTAGGGTGGAAGCAGGGAGACCAGTAGCAGTGGAGATGGTAAAAAAAGACTGGATTCTGGATAACTTTTGAAGGTAGAATGGGCAGGATTTCCTAAGTGGACTGAATATGGTGTGAGAGACTCTAACTTAAACTGGAAGGATGGAGTTGACATTTACTGTGACAGGGAATAATGTGGGAGAAGCATGTTTGGGGGAAGGCAAGATAAGTGTCAAGTTTTGGATGTGTTAAATTTGCATTGCTAACTAAACATCTGAGTACAAATGTTGAGTCACCTGTTGGAAATATGAGTCTCTAAAGCTCAGGAGAGGCCTTGGCTGCTTTATAAATTTTACAGTACTAATTTACAAATGGCATTTAAAATTATCTATGAGATCATCTAGAGTATCAGAGAAGAGGTCTAAGCAATGAGTCCTTTGGATACTCCATTTTTTTTTAATTTAAGAAAATAAGGAGAATGTATCAGAGAAGACTGAGAAGGAACAGCCAGTCAGTGAAGTAACAGAACCAAGAGCAAGCGGTATCCCACAAGCCAAGTGAAGAGATCTGTTTCAAGGAAGAGGGAATAATCACCTGTGTTAAAAGTTACTGATGAATCCATGGAGATGGAGATTGAAAATGGACTGGATTTGGCAATGTATAGATCATTGGTGATCTTGATAAATTGATAGTGTGCCAGGCAAGATACTACATTATTTTCATGCATTATCTCACATTACCACCATAAGATAGATAATATTTTTATATTATCCTTGTTTTATAGGTAAGGACTTTTTAATTTACAGAGGTTAAGAAAATTGACCAATCTCACTTAGCTGATAAATGGAGTCAGGACTGAATCCAGGTTAGTTTGACTCCCTAAAACAACAACCCTAACTCTTGTAAAATGGGGCTTAGAGTAGTAACACTGTCACATAATTATTTTAGTATTCAGTATAATAATACATACAAAGTGTTGCATATAATACCCTGTGCATGATAAGTAGGCAAGAAACAACTATTTTTATATTTACTTTGTGATGTAAGATTAAAAACATTTTTTCAGAAATTTGCTTTTAAGTGTTTCTCAAAATCTGATTTAAAATAATTGTTATATTTGGGAAACATCTTTTTCCCATAGAGGAATTTAATTTCCAATTTTATGATGAAAACAAAGGGGAGAAATAGATTTACACACAATGATTTATTTTATGCCTATCTCTTCAGAAACTTTTTTTTAAAGATTTTATTTATTTATTTGAGAGAGAGAGAATGAGAGAGAGAGCATGAGACGGGGGAGGGTCAGAGGGAGAAGCAGACTCCCTGCTGAGCAGGGAGCCTGATGCTGGACTCAATCCCAGGACTCCAGGATCATGACCTGAGCTGAAGGCAGTCGCTTAACCAACTGAGCCACCCAGGCGCCCCCAGAAACTTTTTCTATTCCATAAAGTGTGATATACCTATATGTAACTTCACTACCACATATGTTTTAAAAAAAACCCAGATCATAAGTAATCACTATCCATACACTGATATAGTTCTCCATAGGATAGAATACTTTTTTTTTTAGGGTATTAATTCTTAATATGGGGTCCCTTTGGGGGTCTATGGATAGAATTCATGTGATCTATAAATGTAAGTGTAGGAAATTTGTCTTCATTTTCATTAGCCTTGGACTGAAAATGAACATTTTCTTCAGTAATGAGTGTAGGCAACAAACCACAATAGTATTAGGAGGACCTTAGATTTTGTCACTAATAGAAATCACAAATATTTTCATATCATGTTGCAGTTGCAAGTATTTTGAAATATTTACACTTATCACTACTTCAAAACTATGGCTTTTATTAGATCTGTTAGGTACTGTTGTTTAATACATTTAAAGAAGCACATATATTACCATGTTATTTTGTTTTATCCACTTAAAAGCATTATTCTGAGAAGGGGTCCATCACACACACAAAAGGTTAAGAAACTGGTTCTGCTAGCTTCTTTTGCAAATATATTTTTACTGCCACCTGGTGGAAGTCTTTGCTCAGTACAAGTGAAAAGTGTCCTAGGAAATAGTTTCCTTCTTCATCAAACATATTATAGTAAGCATATGACAAACAATTATTTTATATAAGTCTGAATGTACCTAATTTGCTCAACAATGCCCATCAGTTGACTAAGTTCTCTAACACTTCTACTTACTTTCTTAATATATATTCTTGTCCAAAGTTTAGTCAAAACTTCAGCTCACCCAAATTTGAAATGCCCCATTGCCTTTAGATCTCTACCTTTCAAAATCTGTTGAAAGGCTTCAGAATTTTAATTTATCCACAGCTTACATCAGACATTATTAACTAGAGGAATATGCACAGAGAATTACCTGTGGAGCTTTTCCTAGAATCCACCTGCTTAGAGGTCTTACCTCGGAAGATTTTAATTGGGTACAGTGAATTTTAGAAAACAAACAACTCCAGTAACTGTAACATGGATCCCTGTAGTTTAGAACCACTTAGCCTAGGTCATTTGTTTTCTGCCTTTTAAAAAAGATTCATCTCCTGCTTTTCTGAGTAACTAAGGGTTACACCTCTTCCTCTTAGAAATTTCTTCACCCCTTAAGCTGATCAAGGGCTCTCTCCTCCCAAAGGATGAGCAGTAATAAAACTCTTCTTGAATCTCAATCCCCTAACCCATTAGAATGCTTTTCTTTGTACTTTATCACATTTTTAATCTTTCATAAAAAGCTGTTTTTACACTTAAAAACTTTTTAGAAGACTTTTTAAAAAGCTGGTGTTATCTTGTGATGAGCATTGGGTGTTTGTATGGAAGTGTTGAATCACTATATTGTACACCTGAAACTAGTACACTGTATGTTAACTGGAATTTAAATAAAAACTTAAAAGCTGGTGTTACAACAAACATGAAAGAAGAAAGATGTTTAAAGTCATAAAATAACAATAAATTATTATCTTAAATAGCCATTGTGTTATCTATTCACTGATAATTTAGTTTATACATTATTTATATTTTGAGCAAGTTAGATATAAAACATGGGACAGATCACTAATAAATTTGAGTGAAGTTAGGATTGTTAAAAATTCTATTTTTGTTTCTTTGTATAAAATTGAGATGATATTCAGCATTCAGCTTATAAGTAATTGAAATATTTGTACTAGATACTGCAATATGTATGAAGGCAGCCACAGACAATACATAAATGAATGAGTGCAGCTGTATTCCAATAAAACTTTATTTATAGACACTAAGATTTGAATTTCATAAAATGTTCTCTTGTCACAAAATACTTCTATTTTTTTTCAACCATTTAAACCATGTAGGGCGCCTGGGTGGCTCAGTCGTTAAGCATCTGCCTTCAGCTCAGGTCATGATCCCAGAGTCCTGGGATCGAGCCCTGCATTGGACTCCCTGCTCTGCGGGAAGCCTGTTCTCCCTCTGCCACTCCCCCTGCTTGTGTTCCCTCTCTCGCTGTGTCTCTCTCTGTCAAATAAATAAAATCTTTTAAAAAAAAAAAGTAAATAAACCACGTAGAAACCATTCTTGGCTTGTGAAATTTACAAAATAGATGGTGAGCCAGATTAGGCACAAAGGCCATAATCAGCCAACCTCTGCTTTAGAGGTACATTAATCCTGTGAGAATATGAGAGATTTTATTCTTCTTTCAAAGAGGTCCATGTCACCAAATTTCCAAATTTGTTATTCCTAAAATAACATAATTTTTACTATAAATGTATATGAATGACAGAGAACTACCAAGCTCATATTAAGAGCCATAATATATAACTGGATAGTATACCCAACATATTCGGTATGGTGGTAAGTGGTAGCTATGGCGAGGCTCTCTAGCTAAATAGTGTGCTCCCAAAGCTTGCTCAATGGAAATATTTGTTTATCTGTAAAATGGCTAATTACTCTGGGCAAATGATATTTTCTAACACTCATTGAGAATTTAGCATGTGATTGACATTGTACTTTGTGCTTTACATGCAGCATCTCATTTAATCCTCACAACTATGTGAGGAAAACACTATTATTGTTCTCCCCTTTATGGATTAGAAGACAGGCTTGAGGTATTAGATAATTTGTCCCTAGTAAGAGAACTAGCAAATGTTGGATCTAGGATTCAGTTTCAGGTCTTACTCTTAAATCTGTGCTCATAATCACTACTGTTTTCCATGTCTTGGACCTTTGGGATTGCATGTGAAATGT